AGAGGTGTTGAAATGTGTTGTGGCCTTGTTAGGGCCAGAAATAAAGACACAAAAAGAGGAACTGAGTTAAACAGAAACAGTAATACAAACGAGAGTATTACAGCAAGAATGACTGCTGGAAACTTCACCCTCCAAAAGGCAGTACCTGCTCCTGTTTATAGCATGTGTGGGTAAATTACCATAACAAAAAGTCAACAATATTTTATCCAATTGAATCAAAAATAAATCAACCTCTTCATGGGTAGAATGAAAAATTTGGTAGAATATTTGGAAAAATGTGTGGTGCTCAATGGTGATTAAGTTGAAAAAAAACCTTGTAATTTTTGAAAAGAAATAAATTTACTTAATTTTGATAAGTTTCATTATTCTATGTGGTTGGAAGCTTTTTTTTTAATCAGCTTATACATCTTATTTCTCAATTAACAAGTTTAATTTTGAAGAGAAATATATTTCATTTGTTACTGGTTTAATTATTCTATTTGAGTTGAAACTTTTTAGAACTGGAGACTTTATTTATCAATCAATTCTCATAATTCTAGGCTTGGCTTAACTCTTGGAGGATGTTCTTTTATTTTTAGTTTTCCATTGTTTTCTTTTGGGCGCTATTTTGTAAATGTTAGATTAACAAGTTGCTATATCTATTATGATGTCGAAGGAACACACTGACATTGTAAATTATAGACGCTACATTAGTAACTGATAAAATATAAAACTAAATGGTTTAATATTTTTATTCTGTTAAAGTTTTTAGCTTTTCGTGTCTGATGAAAGAGTTAATATTTTAAATATAAACATAAATTTTGTAGATTCTGAATTTATATTTAAAAGTCTGATATAAAATGAAAAATTATAATGATATCTTATAATTATAATGATATCTTATAAGTATATCATATTGTAACCTAGAAAGGGTTACTGAATTAGGAATAACCAAAACAGAGGTTGGAAATGAACATGGTAATCTTTATAACATCAACAAAATACAATACTCGCCAGCGGCGTGAAGTAGGTAAACCACTGCTAGTGGTGGACTACTTAGACTGCATATTACCCCCACTTACAATAGTGTCTAACGTATTTATGAGAATTGGGACATACCCATTAGTGTTCATAGGTACAGTATATGACACATCTTATAACCATATCATATAAAATGAAATATTATAACCATATCTTAAATTTATTAAAATTTTGCAAATATATATATTATGAGGGGGGGGGTGCTAAATGATTTACTGTCTGACTCACTTTCCTAAAATGGCATTCTGATATTTGGTCAAGTAGTATTGATTCTTGGAGCAGTGCCTGGTTAGGTTTTAGATACTGCTTCATGGGTGATCCTTGTGGCTTGATGAAGAAAATGTGGTTTGATCAAAAAGTAACCCTGTGGTCAAAAAAAGGTCACAGATGATGGAAAACAGTTGAAGGAGTCATTCCAGTTTATTCAATGGTTCTCCAAGTACTGTCTAATTAAAGGGTCATTTTCCCACCCCTGAACCCATTTAATGAGCATCATCATATATCACTACATTTATTAATTATTCGCACTATTTACATGCAGACTTATATTTGTTCTTGTCATCACATTTTGGATCGTTGTACCCTCCATCATGAAATGTTGTCATAACTACAAAAATTAGGGAAATAGTCCATATGTAAATAGTATAAATAATAACACCTCATCCCACAAATTCAGACAGAAATTAGTCATTAAATTAGTGAGTTATGGGAAGTGTTTAGGCCTAAATCTTTTCAGTACACACTTGTATAAAACCAGATTTTTATGTTAATTTAAGGCCTCATGCTTTTTTTTTATTTTACCATAATAAACACCAATTATTAATTATTGTTAAATGTGTTAACTTGTTGACTCATCTGAAAGACAATGTCTACTTGTGTCTCTCATAATTTCAGATGTGCATGTAATTTTGATCATAATTTTTTTTTTTTTTTTGGTGAGATTTTATTTCTGTCTTCAGCGAGAGTTGCAGAATCTACAACTTTTAACTTTTCCTCAATGTTCAAATGTTGTTATATAGAAGAAAGATCTTCTTTATTCATGTTTATATCTTAGCTAATTACACATATTTGTCTTGTCATGTGTCAGCCAGAAAAGACTTTTTTTTTTTTTTTTTTTTTAGAATTTTATATTGTCTGATTATTTATACTTTTTTTTTTTTTTTTTTTTTTTTTTGTTATAGACTGTACTTTTCAGTTTATAAGATATGCCTTTACCGAAAGGAAAAAGAATAAAGGTTAACAAATTCTCTTTTATTCTGAAGTTCAGAAATGCCTGACTTTCAGATCATGTCCTGCAGTAAAGTCTAAGATCAGTAACACAGAATTCTATTTCAGATAGTGTGTTTTTTTAAGGTACCAAATTTTATTATGACTTTAAAAATGGATATTTTAAAAGCATATATATATATATATATATATCTCCAAATGAGAGAAAGAACAGATGGAGTAAAAATCTACTGTTCATAGCATTTACTTTAAAAAAAACTGCTCAATACAAAGTAGAGCTATATATTATTATTTATTTTATTATAATCTCTCAATAAAATTATATATATATATATATATATATATATATATATATATATATATTTTAAAGACACTTTTTTATTTTCTATGTTCTTAAAATAATTGTTTGATTTTGTCCATTTCATATATATATATATATATATATATATACACGCACACACACACACACAGTGTAACCCGGATATAAGAGAGATTTTCTCTGGTTCCAAATTAGAGCCTGTGTTAATGTATATAAAATAGACCAAACCCGGATATAAGAGACTTCTTCTCCAGTCCCGACAACTCTCTTATATCCGGGTTACACTATATATATATATATATATATATATATATATAAATCAGTATCACCCCATGCAAGGCAGTAAAGCCACTAAGACACAAGGAGTTACAGGGTGTGGAAGAATTAGGAACAGAAATATTAATAATGAGTGGGAAGAAAAAAGAGTAATCAAGACAGTAGGTAGCGATTGACATTGCATTTAAATTTTTGCAGATTAAAGTGGGTTGAAAAGTGCAGAGCTGGAATGAAGTTCCACAAGTGAGAAGAGCGAGAAAAGAAAGTGTTAGCATAGAATTTATGGTAACATGTAGCCATCCCAGCTGTAAATTGAGATCTCAACACCAATCTAGTAGTGCACTTAAATTCAAAAAGTTTAGGCATAATAATGAAGAGCTCATGTGAAACAATTACCATGAACGTATTTATAGAAAAGACATCTTACATCAGTGGGAAAATGACTAAAGTCAAGTTGTTAGATTAAGGTTAATAATATTGCTGATTCCTTTTTTCCTGATTTTATCAATTATATTATCATTTATGTATATATTATGTGAATTTTATATATCCATAATATATACAAATAAGGTTGAGGAAGAACAAGGAGAAGAAAAAAAATATTAATATAAAAAATAACTAACTAAAAAGACGCTAACTGGTTGTTGCTCTTCACTCCTGACAGCTCAACTGAGGTCAAAACATCAGCACAGCAACTAAAATTATGGGGGAGAAAAAAATGTCATCAGAGAATCGTCAGTGTGAATAAGAGAGAGATTTCATTAAGACCCAGCAACAATTCCTTTCGTTGAAGAATTTCCTCTTTGTTTTTTTCTTTTCTCTTTGATTTTCTTTCTTTTCCTCTTTGTTCTTTTTTTCTTTCTTTTCCTCTTTTTTTCTTTCTTTTCCTCTTTGTTCTCTTTTTCTTTTCCTCTTTGTTCTCTTTTCTTTTCCTCTTTGTTCTCTTTTCTTTTCCTCTTTGTTCTCTTTTCTTTTCCTCTTTGTTCTCTTTTCTTTTCCTCTTTGTTCTCTTTTCTTTTCCTCTTTGTTCTCTTTTCTTTCCAATGAAGGTGCATTTTACATATTGAAAAGTACAGTATTATATAGGTATTTAATATTTTACAAGTGATTGTTTGGCAGCTAAAGAGAAGAGAAGCACATTTTCTTTTGAAAATCAGTTTCTCATCTTTAATTTGGTCAGGCACTTAACTCTCTTGACACTCCTAAAAGCTAGTTATGATATCATTGTGTTATACATCAGTTTGCATGCTTGTTCTTTAACTAATTTCTTTTTATATAAATTTAACACAAAACATTTAATATTTAAGGAATGTTATTTATATTTGATATCATTCTTTTAGTTGTCCTATTATTATTATTAATAATGTTTTATTTCAAAAAATTTTCTAAAAATGATATTCTATAACCATATTCTGCTAAATTTATTGAAATGTAATAAATGTCTATTACAAAATCAGTTTCAAAAATTTAAAATTAAGATGAGAATTGCTGGAAATTTGTCTCTCTCTCTCTCTCATATATATATATATATATATATATATATATATATATATATATGAATATTCATTTGGTAATTCTTTTCTTTTTCTAATATTTTGAAAAATGTATCTAGCATTTCAAAGCCTTTTAAAATGCTAATATTTCAAGTTTTATTTTTTTTAACATTTAACTTATCTGAAAGCATGTGATCAATGTTAACTTTTATTTACCAAAAATAATTTCAGCTTGGCGCTTGAAGTTGGATGTCAAAAGTCAGCATTTTAATAGAAAATAATGAAGAATATAAGAATAATGTTGTTTAACTCTTTTATAACTTTTTGCAGAATGGTATATTAAAACATTGGCTCACTTTGATATTTATTCAAGTTTCTATCAATTTTGTTTATTTCCTAATTTTAATACTTGTTTTTTTGATACTTCAGTGAGTCTCCTAGAATTACGCATCGACGAAAGCGAGGAAGAAGTAATTTCACCCAGCTCACCTACTAGCAAATCTTTAAAAACGCGGTTATCCCTGGGGAATCGGAAACTTCGAACGGATCGTAGTTCTCTTGGCTTGTCTAACAGTAGAGAGACCAGCAAGTCCACAAGCAACCTGAGTCGGACGCAGTGTTCCTACAGCCAGCAAACAAAGAGTTCTATAGCAAAGATCAACAAAATGTTTTCAGATTCCGCATCGTCATCACCTTTGAAAAAGGAAAAGTTCTCGTCACATTCCAAAGGGCTGCAGGACATTGCGAAGGGCTCTCGTGATGTAAAGAAGAAAAAATCCAAAAAAGAATTAATGTCTTCCAATCTGGCTACCTGCATGTCAGTGCCGAATCTTACTTGTATGGAGAGTGAGGAGGAATCGATACCGTCTTCCAATCTGCGGATCCTCTGTGATTTGTCCCTTTCGCAAAGTGTCCCAGAAGTCAATAAAATGGACGACCAGACATCACTGAGCAGTAGAACGACATCAAGTGACCCCCATTCTGCTCCTGCACACAACTCGGATGATATCTTGGACAGGGAGCCAAAGATGGAGATATCCAACCAACACTATAACAATATGTCTAAACGTAGGGTCACCATAGCTTCGACTGGAGACGGGCTTAGCATGAGCGAAACAGGGAACAAATCTGTAAAAGACTCTGAGCTAATGCCACCCCCATTGTCCACCACTGTTGGATCATTGAAGAAGGACAGTGGAAAACGTTTAGTTCGGGGACGCCGTCCCCAGACGGAACTGACTTTGGATCAGGCCAAAAACATCCTTTTAGGAAACTCTGGATTGCTTGGCAAGAGTTCTTATAAGATTACCGAGCGTAGAAAGGATTCGCTCAGCTCAATGGACACGACAGACAGTGAGGCGGACACAAGAAAAAGTTGTGGCTCTTCTTCAGTGGGGAGTGCACCCAGACATTTGAATAACTATGATGCGATGGAAAGGCGTAGTTCAACTGGCAAAATTACCACTGACCTCCCTGAGAGGCCCCAGAGCCCAGCTATCACTGTGAAAACAATAGCTGCTGGTTTGCGTAACAGGGAAATAAAGCAAAAATCTTTTCTTGGAGACCTTGCTCCAAGTCCAAATGACCCACCTGAAAGGGACAGCCCTTCCAAATACACCTCCCATGCTTTCAATTCATCTTATCATATGAATGTGGGACCAAGCACTTTAGGATCAAAATCAACTGTTACATACTCTTTGAACTCTCGGTCGAATATTCAAACTGAACCAAGGTGGACCAAAGTGCCCTGTTCTCGGACGTCTAGTGGATCTGGATCTTCTTCAAATTCCTGGGATGGCAATACTGAGTCCGGTCCTAAGTTGTTGCCTAGTGTAAAGAGTAAGGTGGCTTTGTTTGATAGTCCAGCTGCCCTGAAAAGCTGCAGACGGTCACTCGATAAACGCAATTGTGTTATGACCAGTTCTGTGGACAGTTCTCACACCACGGCTGGTTCAGACACTGATACGGAAATGGAAATTAAGCGTCCCGATAAATCACGGTCTCATTCTCCAGCTTCGCTCATCACCACAAATCACAGCATAACCAACAGGTAATGGTAATATTAGTATAAGATTAGTATAATATTAGTCGTTTCTTTATAAGCCATTCATTCTTTAGAATTTTCCTCCTATTTTTTTTTTCCTTGTCCGTTTCCTTCTTGTATCAGTTTTTTCAACTTAGGGACCAAAAATCTCTAATTTTATTTTTTTTGTTTTCATTTGTTCAAATCAGAATTATTTGCATTGACTAATGTTCTCCTCATTGTTGTTTTTTATCACAGTGTTTCGACTATTGTATCCTCTGGTCTTCTTCAAGGATTTTGAATTGAACCCTTTATTTAATCTATAGTGTGGTTGGCTGTTCTTGTTTTACTGTCCATCTCTTGGTATATATTGTATTATCCATTATATTTCTTTACTTTTTTTTTAGTACAACTCAGTTATTGCTCGCTCTGTTTCCAGAGCTTTGTGTTACCTGTCTTAAGGATTAAACTCAAAATTACTATGCCACTAAATTCACAAATCAATGCTTTAATCCACTAGCCAATTAGTGACTGGTACGTCTAGTACAGATTCAGTAAAAACAAGGTGAGCAATAACTGAATAGCATTATTAAAAAAGAAAAGGTAACAAGATATATCTACAGATACAGTGGATGAGAACAATCTACACCCATGGATTAAATAAAGAGTTCACTTAAAAATTACCTGAATTTTACCTGGAACAACAGTTACTTGAATAAGGTGAGAAGATGCACCAACCAAAATGTTTTCATAATAACAAAGATGAGGACAGTAGTCTGAATGTAGGATTAATTTGGAAAGATATCTTGATAATGTCAGTGTAAATTGTGTTTTTGGCCCTGTTTCTCTCTCCAGAAATATTCCCTTTTAGATAATTTTTGAAACTTAAAAGCTGGAGTAAATTCCCTTCAAAAGGACAAAAAAAAAATGTACAAGTCCACAGATCTGTGTGTGATGCTACATGATGGAAGTATTCACTTCCTTTCACACACCAATTGTTGTTGTGAAGAATGAAAAGCAAATCAAGTTTTATCACTGAAATTACTTTATTAACCAATCAGTGTCCAAATTTTTAACAAAACCTTAAACAAGCAATTGATCTTCTTAAAAATAAAGCATTCAGCTTACTGTACCATTCAGAAATAGCTCAGGTAGGTTAATTTGGCACACTACTCAATAGGAATGGTCAATTACACTAGCCTCGTTAACCATTACCCTATGCTCATGAATATTCAAAGATGTCACTCTGTGTTTTCTTGATGCCAGGTAAGTTCATCAATATATGGTTAAGATAATAATACTTATTCAATAAATAAATAAAAGTTTGGATGGACTGGATTCATGCCTTTCCACAACTGGAATTTGAACTTGGCTCGCCAACTCCTTAATCTGAGCCACTATCCATTACTTCACCATAACTCCGGTACTTTTAAATTAACATTGTTAAAAAAAATTATTAATTCTTTGCTTTTTTTTCTGATTTAAATTTTCTGTTTTACTTTTTGTTATTTTAATGTCTAATGTTTTTTGATCTTTGACATGTTTGTATTTAAAATTTTTTTTTTTTTTTTTAACCACCCACAGTGTTGCTCTCACTACTCCCACGGCAAGTCCATTGGATTCTCTCCCCGTATCTCCCAAAGCAGACAGCAGTCAGTTGTCTTTACCTATTAAGCCTGCTGCACATTCTTCTCAGGATATTCCTTCAAAAGGTTTGTTTGATTTGTTTTTTGTTGCTCCTTTTTTTTTTTTTTTTATTTTTATTATTATTATGAACTGAATTTTCAATTTTCTATTTGGTTTCCAAAATCAACTTACATTGCAGTTACCATATTTGTTGGTCCATAGAACATCACCTCCAATTTAATAGTCTTTGACTAAGTAGAAGTCTATGGTGTCTGGGTTAACATTAGTCTGCTGAATACCTTTACTATTTACATTATTCAGGCTAGTGTCCTCACCTTTGTTGCCATATTTATCACAATGTTTCAGCCGTTGTATGCTCTGGTCTTCTTCAGGTGGTTGGAATATCAAACTGAACCCATTATTTTGCTCACTGGGGTAGACTGTTCTTGTTCCACATGACATGTCTAATGGATGTCTTATCAGTTATCCCTTGTTAATTCCCCTCTCCTTGTTCTCCGCTGTCTTAACCAGGTATTGAACTCACACTCTTTGGGTCCTGTCACTGGATCTAACTAACACCTTTATCCACTGTGCCATGTGTCCTTGAGGTCTGTGTGAGAATGGCACAGTGGATAAAGGTGTTAGTTAGATCCTCCAACAACTCATGCACAGTTATTTGATTATTCCAAACAGCTGCATTTGTGATGTTTTCATCAGTTTTGCTGGGTGTGGGTCCCTCACAGTGTGCGTCCCTCACAACATTTTGTCAGCCATTTTGCAAATTTGTGTCCGGCTCATACATTCCTCTCCATACACTTTCTGCAACTTTGTGTGGTTCTCTGCACAGGTATCACAAAGCTTCTGACAAAACATGATGCAAATTCTCTGCTCAGTGTTTTCTGCCATGATCACTGATGGAACTTCTGTGGTTGTGGTGAGATGACCACACTCTACACACTTTCCTTCCAAGCACTGCTTTAAACAATGGAAGTGAGTGAGAATGTCATAACATGGGCATGTGAGTTCAAGGTCAATCTGTGCCAAATGGCTTGACTCTGTATACTTTAGCTTTGTTACCAAAGCAACAGTCTCAATACTTCTTGATCAGACCGACCTCATATATACAAGTTCCACTTGAGGTCTGGGGTGAGTTGGTCCCAACAGGCACTCAAGTCACGGGGCCTCTTTGGGAGAACACCTATTTATTATGATAGTCAGAAATTCAGGGTCTGCTTGATGAGGGAATATTACAAATTTAGTTTTTAAGGTATTGAATGTGACCAGCCAGTTTCTCCCCCCACCCTATTGAGTTGTTGAAGCTAATTCTAAGGAGAGATTAGCTGAAAAGTTCTGGTCATCAAGACTTATATGCCACATTTACAGCAAAGCAACCTTTTAAAGGATGAAGTTAAATATGACAAGTTATGAAGCACTGAGTTTGGCCTGATATGCAAAATGTCTCAATGACTAGCTTTGGAAATGTCAAAACAAACTTGTCCATAAAAATATATGTATTTATATAACTGAGTAATATTGTTATATGGGAATAAAGTGTCACTGCTGACACTTGAGTCTGAACATTGATCGCCAGTGAGCAAACACAGGCGATCCCATTATTGAATTAAGTGGATCACGTGACCATAGAGGAAATGCATATATAGGAAGTTGTGTGATGTCTAGATTGATCTGCATTTCTATTCTATCCTCCATTACTATTCGGATCACCATTTCTAGCCTAACCTCCATTACTATTCGGATCACCATTTCTAGCCTATCCTCCATTACTTTTCGATCACCATTTCTAGCCTATCCTCCATTACTATTCGGATCACCATTTCTAAGCGTATCCTCCATTACTATTCGGATCACAATTTCTAGCGATCCTCCAATACTATTGGATCACCATTTCTAGCGATCCTCCATTACTATTCGATCACAATTTCTCAGCGTATCCTCCAATACTATTCGGATCACCATTTCTAGCGTATCCTCCATTACTATTCGGATCACCATTTCTAGCGTATCCTCCATTACTATTCGGATCACCATTTCTAGCGTATCCTCCATTACTATTCGGATCACCATTTCAGCGATCCTCCATTACTATTCGATCACCATTTCTAGCGATCCTCCATTACTATTCGGATCACCATTTCTAGCCCATCCTCCATTACTATTCGGATCACCATTTCTCCATCCTCCATTACTATTCGGATCACCATTTCTAGCCTATCCTCCATTACTATTCGGATCACCATTTCTAGCCTATCCTCCATTACTATTCGGATCACCATTTCTAGCCTATCCTCCATTACTATTCGATCACCATTTCTAGCCTATCCTCCATTACTATTCGGATCACCATTTCTAGCCTATCCTCCATTACTATTCGGATCACCATTTCTAGCCTATCCTCCATTACTATTCGGATCACCATTTCTAGCCTATCCTCCATTACTATTCGGATCACCATTTCTAGCCCATCCTCCATTACTATTCGGATCACCATTTCTAGCGTATCCTCCATTACTATTCGGATCACCATTTCTAGCCTATCCTCCATTACTATTCGGATCACCATTTCTAGCCTATCCTCCATTACTATTCGGATCACCATTTCTAGCCTATCCTCCATTACTATTCGGATCACCATTTCTAGCCTATCCTCCATTACTATTCGATCACCATTTCTAGCCTATCCTCCATTACTATTCGGATCACCATTTCTAGCCTATCCTCCATTACTATTCGGATCACCATTTCTAGCCTATCCTCCATTACTATATGGACCTCTATTCTCTACTCTATTCACTATACTATTTCTCTATTTGGATCACTATTCGGTGGTTACTATTCGAGTGAGTATTATCAGGCAAGTACTATTAGTATGAGTTACCTTCGAAGGCACCTGACACCAGTATTGTTCAACGGTGTACTATAGTTGTATCAGAAATTACAAAGTCTCTACTATAATGAGCATTATGAAAGTGACAACCAAGTGTTTGTTGACATCACAAAAAATATCTTTGTCTATAAAAGGAAGTATTTACCCCGTTTAGACTGCTTATGGGGGATGATGTTCCAATCGTCCTTTTGGGATGGAAGATGATGATAAAGTGATCCCTTTTTTTTTCTTTTTTTTTATAATAAATGCTTGAAGGCAAAAATACATTTATAATCAGTATTATTTTTCTTTTAATAAAGATCGCCTCATTGTTAATTTAACATCAAAACTTGAAATAAATCCGTAAAATCATTTCATAATTTGTATTTTAGAAGCACACAGATTATCGAATAAGTGTTCATTTGAAAATAAAAAGAAATAAAAGTAAATAAAAAGGATTTTTTTTTTTATATTGTTCAGGCTGTTATCCTCATCTTTATTGTCATGTTCACAACGTTTCGGCCATTGTGCGCGCTGACCTTCTTCAGGTGATTGGAATTTCAAACTAAACCCTGAATTAAAAGAAACTGTTAGCATATATCATTAGGTCTTGCTATTTCAACTGTAAAATAATGAGACCTTGCTGTTGATCTAATACTGTGCTTAAATTCATAAAGTCTAGGTAATATAGAAAGCCCATCAGAATAATTACCATGAAAGAATTTATGGAAAAGGCATGTGGAAACTGGTATGGCAGTGGGAAAGTGACTGAAACCAAGATGCCAGGTCAGGACCAATAACATTGCAGATTTTCTTTGTATTTTACCAAGAATGTCTATACAGCAGGAGCACTAGACCAGAGGTGGCAGCAATATTCAAAGCAAAGATGAAGGCTAGTCTTATAAATATGCTCAACACAGCTGTAGACTTAGCAATTGATTCAATATACTCTTTCCACTTCATGTCAGCCGAAAATTGGTTTTGAAGGTATTGAATGTTATAAACCAATTTCTGTTAGAAACTGTTGTATTCACTTTATATTAATCTCTTTATGAAAGGCATGAATCCATCTTCCCTTTCTCTTGCTAGGAGTAAAATCATAGGTCAGATTGGACTTAGTAGAACAACCAGTTTAAAATAGTAATTCTGAATTAAAAATTGATGAAGACAACTTGAAACCATAATACTACCTTTCTCAAGAATATTCATGGTGATTCACAATTTACAAATATTAAAAAAGGAAATTGTGGAGAGCCATGATCGCTTATATTCTGAGTGAAAATAGTGTTCAAAAAAGAAAATTCAAAAGTTCATCTGATTGAAAGCTGCATTAGTGAGGCACCAGCTGAAAATTGAACTTACTAACTACAGTCTGTGAGATGAACTCGCCTTCTACAATTCAACAGCAAATATTTCTTCTGCAAGGTTTTATAGTTTATCATCAAATATTTATTGAATATTTATTTATATTATATATATTAAAGTATATTTATAGATTATTTATTTATATTATAAAATATAGTTTCTTATAGAATATTTATAGATTATTTATATTATAAAATATAGTTTCTTACAGATAATTTTATCTATATTATAGACTATTTATAGATTATTTATATTATAGACTATTTATAGATTATTTATATTATAGACTATTTATAGATTATTTATATTATAGACTATTTATAGATTATTTATATTATAGACTATTTATAGATTATTTATATTATAGACTATTTATAGATTATTTATATTATAGACTATTTATAGAATATAGTTTATTATAGACTATTTATAGAATATAGTTTATTATAGAATATTTATAGAATATAGTTTATTATAGAATATTTATATTATAGAATATTTGTTTATATTATAGGATATAGTTTATTATAGAATACCTTTTAAAACATTAGTGCCAACATTTTTGTTTTATTTTGTTTTAACTGAGCTGATGCTGATTTTTTTTTTCTCTCTCTCCTTTAGCTTTTTTAGTTTTATGCCAACTCCAAGAGGAGGAACTCTGTGAGTGATTCAAGCACTGGGATTTATTTATGCACTTTGTATTTCCTCCTCCTCTTTTTTGTGCATTTTCAGCAGAACAGATGCATCATTTTTTGTAACAGTCATTTGTTTTTTTTTTAATTTCATGTTTTTTGTGATATAAAGACTGACAAACTAATTACTTGTAAATTTTTGTTCTGATAAAAAATTAACTTTAATTATAATGAGATTAGTTAATAAAGGCATAGGAGTTTTCTTTTTGGCTTTAAAATAAAAAAAAAAATTTTTTTAATCCCTGTTACTTATATTGAAAAGAACAATAAAAATTCTTATTGAGAAAAATGTATGATGTTTTGGAGGTGTAAAGGTAACTTTTAAAACTTAAACGGCAGGCGTCGTCAATTGATATTTCATTGGAGGTCTTGGATATTATCAATTGATGATTTAAACTTTTCCCAAGAATACTGGCATCATTCATTCCTGATTTGAGTCTAAATGACTAATTGGCAACTTGAGGATTCAGGAGGTTATTATTGACTAGAATTCATGATATTATATCATTTCTTGGAATATTTGTCTGAAAATGAAACTGGAAGAACAAGTCATAGACAATGAATGCCATGTCTTCATGCTGACTTCTTGAAGAACAATGAAGCGAAAGCTGGTAACAAATATTCTTTCTGCAAGGAATGTGTAACTCCACTGTTCATGGAATGCTTCAACAGGTATCATATTGCTGCAAAATATTAAATTTAGGGACCTAACATTTCTTTTATTTCTGTTTCTGCCAAGATGGTTTTGTCACAAAACCATTTTGTTAGAAACTGTAGTTGCAAAAAAGTCAGTGTTTTGGATATTTTATATTTCAACTTGTCCTACAATTTAATTTTATGAAAATTGTATTGAACACTCTTTTAATATAGCCATTCTTTTGTCAAAGTTTTTGCCAAAGATTGGATTTATAATTAATTAATTATTTACTGGAAATATGATGTTTAAAATCTGACCAAACATTAGAATTTTTTGTTTGAGAGCGGTGGGGGGGGCTGTTTCTTAATTGTGGGAAGAATATATAATGTGTGTGTATTCATAAATGAACCTATGTGAAGACACAATATTTGGAAAATGATAAAACTAACATAAACCCTGAAAAAGACAATGTGTACATATAGTCCCATTATTGATAAAAACTCTTTGATAAAGGCTTATGAAAGTTGAAAGTACTTAGACATCGGACAATTTATCTTATGATTTTCACCAGAATATTAGGAAAGTGGTCCAAAACAGAAAATAAAAAAGTCAAAAATATGGAATTTCATTAATCTTTAACCAAACTTGTTCAAATGAGAAATTGCTGCCCATAAAAGGCAAACACCTACTTAAGCAGTAAATTAAAGTACTTAATACCGAGGCTGTCCAGACAGCAAAAAACATTTCACAATGTCAACACTCTATGAAGCACAGGTTGAGTTGCTAATTAGGTTTCACACTCTTGTGATCTTCAGGTGACTAATGAGTGTTTTTTTATATATATATATATATATATATATATATATATGATAAAATATAGATGGCTTGACGATTGCATTTAGCATGAAATAGTCACCATTGGTTAAAGCTCAATTCTGTTAGTTGTGTCTCCTTTAATTTCTGACCTCTGACAATACCTTTTTGTACTGATTTTTTTTTTAAATGCACAGCATATACATTGTGTTAAAATTTGCTTAAAAAAAACCAAAAAACTTTCAATGAAATTCCACTTTGAAGCACTTGTGCCACTTTTCATTCATTGTCCTGCGACTGACCTTTGCTTACTTGCACTTAGGCCAGCATTCACCAAGAGTGGGTTAGTACAAATTCTTCTGTGATAAAAAACAAAATCTACTTTTCTGTGCCTTTTGAAGTTAATATTTTTCCATATATGCAATAATCTGTATGAATGAATTGGTTACCTCAATTCTAACCTCTTATATTGCAAATTATACATGCAGATTGTATTAAAATAATGAAGAATATATTGATGTCATTATTGAACTGCAGCATTCATGTATATTCTTCCTTATACCTTTTTGTTTCTCTGCATTACATATTAAACTTTGTATCTTACAAATCTCTGTAATCTGCAATATTGAAATGTATAGTCATTTCTAGAAGATATTCTGGTCTTTTTCTTTTTTTTTTTTGTGATGCACTAGTAATATCAAAGATTTTTTTTTTTTTTTTTTAGATTATGATTTTAAGTGTAAGAATCCTTTTAAATTAAAAACAGATCAATGAATTAAAAAAATACTTATAAGGACCATGTGGAAATAAATAGCTTGATTCTTTCGTTATATTAATTCAAATATTTGGGAGGCATTGATGAGATATCTGGTGAGAAACTTGCCCTGGGTTTTCATTAGTGGCAACTCCAGGGGTCAGACTTTTCGGGCTTAGCCAGAGTGAGTCAACATTCAAGGATATCTATTTCAAAGCAACAAAAATCTTTTGTAGTTCAGCATTTTCCTTCTTAACTGCAGCTGGATCCAAAATTGATTGATTTAACTCTATGCCTCAAAATATTGACTGAAATACATTTTGTTGATATTATTCATAATATAGAAGAAAGAAATAAAAAAAAAAATTAAAAAGACAGTAATTTAAAAAAAAAAAAAAAAAGAATGAAATAAAATTAACATTCTCAGTTGGGCTGCGTAGGTCTTAGCCTTGTCTGAGCTAGAGATACTTAATAGGCAATGTATCTTTTTGCTTTAATTTTTATAAGGAATCTTATAAAAATATCTAATGACTTGTATGCCCTGTATTTCAAAGAACATGTTTTTATTTGAACATTGTTTTCAAATGTCCATTTTAAATAATTTATTCAGTACAGCATAAGGTTCTGTAGTGACACTGGCAAATTAATATGCCTAATTTGTATAAGTTCAAGAGAAAGCCTATATAAATTGTCACTGAGAATAATGTGGGACAAAGACAAGCTTAGCGACTGACTAGTGCTAAACTTGGGACATCACAACAATAGTGTCGCTAATAGGATCGCATTTGTCTCTAGAAGATTCAGATTTCGTGGATGCATGGATTCGCTGTTTTTCTGCCAGTGCGAGAAGTAAAATGCTGAAAGACAACAAGGAGAAGGGAGGCGAAAATGAAATTACGGATTTATTTTTGGCTACAGCTGGATGCGAGGCGATAATGAAAGTCTCCACCATGGCATAGAATAAGGACCCAGGGTGAATATGAAGAGCAAAATGATAAAGAAATGTCTATGATTCCGTCCGTTAATGATTTATTAGAACAACCGTTACAGAATGAAACATCAGAAGACGAAATAATGCAGTATCAAGTGGGCCAGAATGAGTTTGAAAGTTTGCATGAAGATCAAATAATGCAAGAAGATGCCTATGATTAAAGCTTAGTGCGGGACAGATCTAGGTCTCCCAGAAAAAGAAATACGGGAGAGAGAGAAGTAGAGCAAAGTAATGAAACCATCACAAGAAGAAGTACAAGAACTACTAGAGGTATAAAACCTATACGTTTCAGGGAGATGTAGTGACACTGGTAAATTAATATGCCTAATTTGCATAAGTGCAAGAGAAAGCCTATATAACTCGTCACTGAGAATAATGTGGGACGAAGACAAGCTTAGCGACTGACTAGTGCTAAACTTTGACTTCACATCAGGTTTTTTAGTGGAATGTATCTTTTTGAAAATTAAATTTAGCCTGACTTAAATTCGGCTAAAATCAAAGAAAGTGGCTGCCTTAACACGTCTACTGGAGAATTGGTGGAGAGGAGTGTGACTCGGGTAGTGTTGAAGAAATATGATATTAGTCAGCATTACTGATCACAAACTTACAATAAATTAAACTAAATATTCTCAGAGATACATGAACGCATAGACATACATACAAATACACATTCTACCACCAGTGTATATATATATACACACACACACACACACATATATACACACACACACACATATATATATATATATACACACACACACACACACACACACACACACATATACACTTTCATGTGACAATGAATAACATACATATAACATGTTCTGTCTCTAGTAGGAAATTTATGCATTAATTCTGTGGCATTGTCTGAAGACTACTAAAAGTGTAGAGGAATTTTTTTTTCTATCAGAGTTATCTTCTCTTGGGTAAACTTGCTTTTTGTTCCTTCCACCTTTTTTAAAATAAAAAAATAAAAAATATTTGGAATATAAAATATGTGAACGTTTTGAATATTCTAATTATTAAAGAAAAACAAAACAAACACAGATATTTGTATTTTTTTTCTCTTGCAGCTGAAAAATTGGAAGCTTGTAAAAGTGTGATACAAGACTTGAAGTTGGATGTTGAGAAATTAACTGCTTTGTATGATAAGGTAAGTTGTTGATGTTTAAATACCTTATCGATCGTTGTCACATGATCATGTAGATTTTACAGTTTATCCACTTTGGGACCTTGATTTCTAGAAGTGAAAATGTTAGAATAATACAAGAAGTTAATCCTGTTTAGATTAGGTGTCCATCAGTATTTGTAAACCATGGAGGAGAGTGTTACTCATGTAGGACCCCACCCTCTTAACGTCACTGAAAAGGTCCAATGGGAAGGCAAGCTTTTGGGAAACCCCACTGTATGTATACCCACACATGTTGGAATAATAGGTCTGGCTAGCTGTTTAAACTTTGATCCCCACCTCAAACCTCTTCTTTTTCTATGTGCTATGTTCATTCAGGATCATGGCTCTCCACAGCTTTCTATCATTTGTAGCTCTTAGTAAAGTCTGTCTTTTCACCATCCCTTCAGCAGTGCGCATCCACTACCGAGAATTGAAACCCTGACAGTTAGGTTGTCAAGCAAACATCATACCAACTGTTCCATTGGGTCTGATGACTGTCAGGGTTTCAATTCTCGGTAGTGGATGTGCACTGCTGATGAGTCCCAAATATAGGACGAAACAGCCGTCCAGTGCTTTCTGCATTCTGTTGAGATTTCTATCAGACTCAATGAATTACTTAAATATAATTATCAAATCCTCCTAATAATTTCTATCATATATATATATATATATATATATATATATATATATATATATAATATAAAAATGAAATAAAAGTAGTGCCCTGTTTGGTTAAATTCAGTCCTTGGGTGGTGAGGCTGGTGTGACCTCTCAGGACGCAGGCCTGGGTGATGGTATATGCAGGCCAGGCATTGCCCAGACAACATCCCCCACCCTCACCTAGACTGTACCGGCAAGATCCAAAATGTTGGGCTTGGCTTTGCTACAGGAATTGCAGGAAAGTTATCAATGTTGTCAGTCAACCGCCTTCAGAGCTCCACTCTGGGTTTTTGTCTGGATTTACATCTATAGCTTTTTCCATGTTTAGATATATTAAAAGTTAAAAGGGGAGTTAAACTAAATAATATTTTCCTTTTCCTTGAATTGTTCTTCATTTGTTGTTTTATTTGAGGTTTAAATTTTAGTTTAAAATAAATAAACTAAAAATCCACCAACATCTTTTTATTGCTATTAAATTTGTAAAACTCCTATAAAAATAATTTGTGTAAATGTATATGTACTAATACAGAAAAGAACAAAGATTTTCAATGATATATACATGTTATTTGGTTTGGTTTATTTTGTTTTACGACATATCAACCTCAATGGGTTATTTAATGCTGACAAGATTTTTTATTTCTTGTAATATTTCGTTTTGTCAAAAATCTGTTTCTGGTAATATTTTTCCTTCAAAATTGTATTGCTGGTAATAATTTTTTTCAAAAAAGTATTGCTGGTAATAATTAACTATTTGCCCATAGCTGGGACCCTAACAGGTGCTACCACCCTGGGTCAGGGGGGACCCTCAAAACCTCCTGATCAGAGGCCTTGCTGCTGGACATAGTTTATCATCTTACCCAAGACAAACATGTTATTTGGAATGCACCTTTTGAGTTTGACAATCTTAGAAAGGGTGGAATGACATTCAGACTTATGGTGAAAAGTGTGCATTGGGCAAAAAAGGTTTGAGAACCACTGCTAAAGAAGGCTGTAAAATTGTTTGGCTGAAATATACATCATCACAAATTTTTCATCTTTTGTAGGTGTCTGATCCCGAGCAACAGTCGCAGGAAATCCTTTCCCTACTAGGCCAAGTGATCCAGGATACACAACAAAAGGTGGAAGGACTTGATCCAAACATATCCACTGATCCACTCCCAGATCGATTGTCTTCCATGTCTACCAGAGACATTAGTACCTCACCTATTCTTTTTCCTGACTTGACCACGGAGACGGCCGCCCCGTCTTCATCCAGTGTTGCTACTGCTACTGCTGTCATTTCCACAGACGACAAAGGAGTCAACACCTCCATGTCCGAGTCTGAAGAGTCTCCGGAAAATGACCCGAATCAACTGGTAGAGACGATGGTCCGACTTGTTGAGCGGAAGCTGTCCAGCAATTTGTCCGATGAAGTGCGAGGGATGTTGTCCACGTTCTTCATGTCTTTCCTGCAAATTGTGATTTACAAGACCATAAAATGAAAGTGGAGATTGCTTGTGTCGAAAGAATGAATGAGAGATGATATTTCCTTGTGATATTGTTGAAATAGGTAGCAAAAAGATAAATAATTAAAAAAACAAAAAAAAACTGTAATTCTTCCAAGCGCGTATCTTTAGGAGCATTCAAATTTGCTGTCTCTGTCACATGCTCATTTCTCAATGCTCTTCAAATACGTATGGCTTCTGAAGAATGATAAAGTCTTGCATGTAATCTGGTTGCATGAAGCCAAGAAAAAGAAAAATGATTGAAAAAAATCAAGGATAATTGGGATGGGGTCTAAATGAATGTTAATTTGTATCCTTTACAATGTTAACAAAATGAAACTTTCTCAATTCCATTTTAGGGATTAAAAAAAAATAAATGGAAGAAAACATTCCAGAAGTAATGAGTTTTTTTTTTTTTTTTTTTTTTTTTAAGTAACCTTAGAAAAAATGATTTTTCATGAATTTTTATGAGTAAGCAAGAGATTAAAGATCAAATCCTAATTAGTAAAGGTTTTTTTTTTTTTTTTTATGTATCTAATTTTGATAAAACTTGAAATTTCAATTTTATTTTTTAAATTCTGTAAAATTTAAACCCACATGATTGACAGAAAGGAGTTGAGGGAAGGACTGAAACAAACAAAAGCTTTAATACGTCTTTAGGCTTTTGGAAGACACTGATATGATGCTGTACAGTAAGACGTGTATTTCCCTCCCTTGAAATATAAATGCTATTCAGATCTTGACTAGGTGTGCAAAAATTTTCAGCCCCCCCTTTTTTTTTTTGAAAGTAGAAACTGAATGCACAATAGAAACATTTTTTTTTCTTAATTTAAAAAAAAAATAAAAAAAGATGCTGAAAACTTTTGCAGATATTTAATATATAAAATGATCCAATCTTCACTTTCTGATTCCCTTTAATATCTGAAAAATAAACTGAAACAAGATTTAATTAAGAGAAATTTTCAAAATTAACCCCAGAAATCAACGCACAGTAAATTGAAAATGACAAAGAAAAGGCATCTGTTAAATTATGAAATAAAAGAAAATAAATTTTGGTTCATTCCATGTTTCAAATTTTTCAATATTTATAGGAAGAGTGCTCAATATCTGATTGTGAGAGTGTTTATAACTATAAACAGTGTGGACATAGAAATCAACACTGCATGGTGACTATCAATTTCACAGTTCAATGTGATCTTCAAATTAAGATATTCATACTTTGACTAAAGATCAAATTGAAGTGAAACTGATATTTACCATGCATTGTTGATTCTTATGTTCACATGGTGTATGCACACACATGCAGGGTTTTAAAATAGCTCAAGATAATCAGTCCTTAAAAATTCTTCCCCTAACTTCCACCATTTTTAACTCTTGCTTGTTCTTGAGAGTTGTGAAAAATGTCTTAAAAACCAAAGCCAAATTTGCAAATATCATGCAATTGCCATATCAGATGGGACACAAGAAATGATTTTCCTTACAATCCCACACTCTTTATCACTCATTGCTAATACTGCTGTTACCACAGATTTCATTTTTTTTTCTTTTTTTACATATATATATATATATATATATATATATATATATATAAAAGACAGTTTTGAAGAATCAAATTTTTCAGTTAAGTGGTCGATTCTAGAATCAACCTTAAATCTTCATGCCAAATTGACTTACCTGATGTGATGTGTGTATGTGTGTGGGTTGACCTTTTCTTTTTTAATTTGTTAAATTTTTTTTTATTTAAAAGACATTAACGCCCCCCCCCCCAAAAAAAAATAAAATAACAAGGAAGACAACTCAATGATGGCAATATTCATAAAAAAAAACAAAAAGACAAGTGAATTATTTGAATTGAAAATGACTCTTGAAAATTGTACAGTTTCGTAAACTTTTTGTAACAATTTTTTTAAATACTTTTTTTTGTGTCCCTAGAGAACTGTTTTGTCACATTTCTTTTTGTTCTGTAGCTGATCAAATCAGCTGGTTTCGACAAAAAGAGGTGTTCTTCCCATCACAATTTACCTGACTTATTTTTATTTTTTTTTTTTTAAGGTCATGAGAACCGGCAAAAATCTAAATGTCTTTTTGTACAACATTTTCTTTTTTTTTTTTTTTTTAAAGACAGCTTTATTTGCAATGCACAATTCTCTTGATATTTGTGTTTAATTTTTCTTATTCCTTCAAACAAATGTGGATGAACACAGGGGAAAATGCAGAAAAATAATAATTGAAGGGAGTTGACCAAGAAAAAAAAACAAAATGGATAATTTGATGTCTCTCTTTTAGTTCCCTTTCTAAAAACATTCATTCAACTGGTGCTAAGCAAATCTTGATGAACCAATGTTGTCGGACAATATGCAAAAAGAGGGGAATATTTCTCTGCATTATTTAAAAAAAAATACTGATAGACAATGAATTTCTATTTTCTTTTTTTTTTTTTTTTTTTTTTTTTAAAATCTAACTTTTCCAGAAAAGAGAAATGACCTCATTATTATTATTAATGTTTTTTAAATTTCATAAAAGTATTGTCTGGTTTTACTGACTACCATTCAATCATACTTTTTTTTTTTTTTTAAATATATCAGCAAGAACATTGGTGGATTTAATCAAAAAGAAAAAAATAAATGATGGTTGAATTTTGACTGGAATTAACAAAGTTTGTTCACCGAACGCCATTCATAGAAATAATTCCAGAAGTTAAGACATTTTCTCGACCAACATTCGACGGGTTGAATAGCAAATTTCCATGTTTGTCATCCTTGATACTACAGAGATCATCTTTGTGAAAGTTGTATTTGGTGCCTTGACAGCATATTTGTAAATATTAAAAGAATTAGTTCCAAACTGACAATGTACCATGTGACTTCTTCATTATAATTTGTTTTTTTTCTGTCTTTTTAGAATTTCTTGTTTCCATGTTTTGAAAATTCATTCCTTTTTCAGCTGGTTTCTGCCATTTCAGGACATAATGGTCATAGAATCAATGGAAATATGGCACTGGATTTATTATTTTGAAAGACCCCCCCCCCAAAAAAAAAATTAATTTTTCTGTTTTTATTCCTATCTTTTCCTCTTAACACAAAAAAGGGAAATAATATTTTTATTATTATTATTATTAATAATAATAATAAATAATAATTATAATAAAAAATAATAAATAATAATAATTATAATAATAATAAAAAAAATGATGTATGAAATCCTGGGATTTATCATAAGCTACACTATTTACATGCAAACTATTGTCCTCATCTTTGTTGTTATCACAACATTTTGGCCATTGTGCCCTCAGGCCTTCATCAGGTGTATACTGGTCCAGGTAATCTACAAGGATTTCTGAACTGAACCCTTTATTCAATATATGGGGCTAAACTGTTCTCCTTCCACTGCCCATGTCTAAAAAAAAACTTGTCTAGTTTTTATTTTAATACTGATCAGTTATTGTTCACCCCATTTACACTGAGTCCAAGTACATTGCATGGCTTGAGAATTGAACCCTTTTTTTAATCTATGGAGACAGACAGTTCTTATGTCTAGGGATATATTGTCTATTTTTTATTTTAGTACCGATCAATTATTATTCACCCCATTTCTACTGAATCCAAGTATACACTGCCTGGCCAAGAGATTGAACTCAGTTGCTATGTCATCAAATTCATGAACCAATGCTTTAATCCACTAGGTTAATGCACCATAAAAAAAATACTTTAACAGTAGACAGTCTTTCATGAACATTGTTTTAGCTATTTTGGTCATGGAAGCTGTATATTTTGGTCATGGAAGCTGTAGTGTGTTGTGCAAGTTGGTGGTGGTACTGTGTTGGCGTAGCGTAGATTTATTTATTTATTTATTTGTCATGTTTAGGGTGTCTTTAGTGTGTCTGTTATTTCATTGCACAGTATACTGACATGACTTAGAATCCAGGCTAGGATGACTGATTTTTTTGTGATTTATCTATTTCGGTATAAGTTTCCAGTCAATACGTCGATGACAATGTCTGCTTCACCAAATGAGAATTGAAGAAATCACTGGTTGATGACATTATGCTGATGGCTGCAAAGACCAAACTGAGATGCACATTGCCATCCACTGCTTTGACACTGAATGCTTACACCTGGTGGCAGTGGCTCATGCACTATCATCGCAATGACATTATTGCCAGCGAAATTCCTGGTCTTGAGTTTGGCTAATTTCAAATCTTTCAATGGCCTGACGGCATAGTGTCTTCTAATTGTTGCAATCAGCTGTTCCAACTTCCTGTTCTGCGGGATCAATGCCACACTGCTTTAGCGTTACTTTCAGGTGGTCTTTGAAATATTTGTTTTGTCCCCCCAACATAGCGTTGGCCTTCAGAGAGTTCCCCATATAGAATCCTCTCTGGGAGACTGTTTTCAGGTATCCTGATATGACCAATCTACTTGAGCTTTCGTTGGATGATAAGAGCCTGAATGCTTTTGCTCTTAGTTTGAGAATACTGACATGTTGTATTTGATCTTGTCATGACAATCCAGGGATGTGTTGAGGGCTGCAGATGTGTGGGGTTTCTAAGATGTCTGGCTTCTCACCTCAGTTGATAGGAAATGTTAGTCTGTTTTATCTTGGGGAATTAAGATGGGCTACAGTAAATATTCCATTCAGTAGCACAGATTTGCTTATTAGTTGTCTGACCATAACCAGTTGGACATATCCCCTAATGGCCAATGCACTGTATATCTGTTCATGGGTGGGAGTAGGAGGAGTGTATCATGGCTGGTGATATTGAGTTCTTTTTTTTTTTTTTTTTTGTTTAATTTGAAAGATGAGGCAACCAAGGTATTGGTTGTAGATACTTAGAAACATCTTCCATCCAAAACCGTCTAAGCAGACTAGGTTACCAAACCTGAAGGTATTCCTAACTGGGCCCCATCTACAATGTGTGGGGTTTCTAAGGTTATGTTGATAGGAAATGTTAGTCTGCTTTATCTTATCAAAATTTGCTGTCACCCTATATCCCTAAT